GGAAAACATCCACGGGCCATGTGGAAGAGCTCTCATTCCAAAGGCAGGAGCAGTCACAAGCAGCACAAACCAGGAGGGAATTTAAACCTGGGAGTAACTCAGGAGCCCGGATTTTCCTGGTGTTCCCTCACCCACGCTGCAGCCACAGGGAAAGCCAGCCTTGTTATTCGCACTAATTAAACTGGGAAAACAATATGGAATGAAAAACAGAGCCTCAGAAAAGGGAGAGAGGCAGTGGGCCCAGCACAAAGGAGCTGGTGGTACACGCTGCTGCCAGGTGGGAATGGGGCAGATGCAGGGATGGGGGATCCGGGATTTGGGATCAGGGATCCAGGCACAGAGTGGTGCCAGAGAAATGTCCACGTTCTGTTATCTGAGGAAAAGCTGGAGGAGATGCCTCAGGAATACCACACAGCACTGGAGTATTTTCTGCCACCTCAATAATTAGGAAAACCTTAAATGCAGCTCTGGAATACTTTGCTTTCCTGCTGTCCGCACTGGAACCTGCTTTGCACCCATCCACACTCTTTTCCCTTTCCAGAAACTTTTCCCAGCTGGATCCGAGGACACAAGACATTTACCTGGGAGCTCAGCAGCTGGAAACATCCCCTTTCCCAGGCAGGATGAAAGCTGGCTTGTCCCCTCTCCACCACCCAAGCCCCAGGGGAAAACACATCCATCCAGCAAGCAGGAATTCCAGGCAAGGGTGTGTGAGCCTAAAATATTTATTGGGGGGGGTGGTTATCCCAGAAAAGGTCCACTAGGAAAACCTACAACCACAAGGATAAACATTACACCATGATGGTTACCATCATGTAAAGAGGGGCAGGGAACCCTACGGGCGGACAGGGAGGTGACACCCCCTAAACCTCAACTTAGGGTAGACCAGCCACAGGGTCTCCAACCATTCTTGGTGGGCATTCCTGATGGGCATTCCTGCCGGGCATCCCAGCCCGCAGTTCCTCGCTCAAGGCTCGATTTCCCCGGGCAAGGGAGAGGCGGTGGCCGCAGGAGCGGCGGTGTCCCTGCGCCTGCCGGGTTAATTTCTTGCCTTGCCTGTGAACAGCCCATTCAGCGCCACTTCAAGCTCCTAATTCCGGGGTTTACGTGGAAATGGTTTTAGAGTGCGCTGGAAACCCCGGGTTTCCTTTTCCAATCTCGCGACGTCTTTAGAAAGCAATTCCTTAAGCCCCCGTTTGCGAGACCCTTTTAATCTCTGCAAATTATTGGTGAGAGCTGAATCAAGGCAAACTGCCACCGCAGCGCTGCCACCGCGCAAAGAGAGGCCACCGCTGATTATTTAGAGGAAACCATCGCTTTCGGGCCGAGAAATAAATTAGCATTTATACTGGATTATTGAAAAACGCCTCCCCCCCAAAAATCAGCCTCCATCTCCGTGTCAATTGTGGCTCACCGAGGTCAACACCTCCGCTGTGACAGGCACGGGCTCGCACAGCAAAGGACAACTTACGTGTGGAAATGAGCCCCGAATGTGTCATTATTATCCGGGAGACAAGCCGGGCTGGGAAATAACATCTGCACTCCTGGAAATAACATCTGCACAGCCCGGGATCCGGGCGACTTCCGCGGAATGGGGGTAATCAGGGAGCGGGGAAAATCAACCCCAAAAATTAAAACCCAAGAGGTGGGCTTCTTGGCTCTTTGCTGTTGCATTTCCTATTCATTTGGTGGGGTTTTTAAATTTCTTTTTGGGAGGGGTTTTGTTTGTGTTGGTTTCTTTTTTTTTTTTTTTTTAGTTTTGGTTTTGTTTTCTTTGTTTTTGGGGTGGTTTTTTTTTAAGTTCTGGTTTTGTTTTCTTTGTTTTGTTGGGTTTCTTTTTGTTTGTTTGTTTGGGTTTGTTTTTTCTTTTTTTTTTTTTTTTTTTTTTTTTTTTTTTTTTTTTTTTAATTTTGGTTTTAAACTACTTCACTTGGAATCTGCAGCTTGATCCTCCCAGGGTAGGGAAGGAAGAAGTCCTGTTTTGTGTGGAACCTCCAGGTGATGGAGGGTTAGGTTAGAAAAACACATTCTATAAGCGAGAAAGATTTAAGGTTAGGGTTTGGTTTGGTTTTTTTTTTTTTTTTTTCCTTTCCATGAGTCATTTGCTACATCAAAGGGTTTTCTTTACACCCACCACCGAAATGATGCGATGCTTTTTATCCCAAATATCACGTTACTGATGTGGGGAAGATTCTGGGGTGTTTTCAGTGCAAAATGGCCACGAGGCGTTTTGCTGGCTGCGTTTCTACCAGCTCCCCCTGCGCTGTGCTTCTCCCTGGGCTCCCTCAGGGGATGCAGCGGTGCCTCTGCCCCCAGGATAAGGGTCGGGGGTGTCCCGGTGGGCAGGGGATGGCTCAGTCCCCGCTGTGCCCCAGGGACCACCAGGGAAGCTGCACATGGCTCCTCATCCCAGCTCCAGCAGCAGATCTGGGGGCAGCCGTGGTGTTCAGGATCCCTTTTCCCCCAGCTCCCCCTTCCTGGGCTGCTGTCCCGGGACACCCTCGCTGGATTTCTCTCCCTGTGCCCAGGTGCCCAGCCCAGGGTCCTGCTGTGTGAGCAGAGGCTGTGAGCAGGGGCTGGTACCACCCCTGGCACCTGACTCCCTACAAACCACCTCGCTTGTGCCACATCCCAAAATCCCAGCTTACAGTCTGACACAAACAGGACCAGTCCCTCTCAGCCCTTCACCTTATTCTGCCTGGTTTGTCCCCAAAGCAGCACTGAGGCCTCCGTGAGATCCCAGTGGCTTTTTTATTTTACTTTATTTTACTTTTTCATTTAATTTAATTTTATTTTATTTTGGCACCTGCAGTTTTCCATCCCTACTGGAACAGGTCCCCTCCTTTCTGGGGCTCACACTCAGCACATCCCTACAGCACCGGGAGCAGCCTCATCCTTCCCAGAGGGAAGCAGGGACACCACGCTGTGCCTCTCATCCATCCATCCATCCATCCATCCATCCATCCATCCATCCATCCATCCATCCATCCCCAGGGCAGGGCTCCTGCTTTGCCAAGCTGCTCCCTGCCCCAGCAGCACACGGGCACCTCTGAATCCAGGGAGGAGGGAGGTTTCAGCAGCTCCTTCCTGGAGTGCGAGCCCCAGAAAGGAGGGGACCTGCTCCAGTAGGAATGGAAAACTACAGGTGTCAAAATAAAATAAAATGAAGTGAAATAAAATGAAAAAGTAAAATAAAGTAAAATATAAAAAAATAAAGTAAAATAAAGTAAAATAAAAAAGTAAAGTAAAATAAAGTAAAATAAAAAAGTAAAGTCAAATAAAAAAGTAAAATTTAAAAAGTAAAATAAAATAAAATAAATTAAATTAAATAATGATCAGCCTTTGGAGGAAGACTCTGATGAAGGAAGAGCTGGGCTCAGACACAGTTCAGCAGTTCACTGGTACCACTGGTGACACTGGTGGGCACCAGGGGCTGTGCTGGGGACCTGACCCTAGGGATACAGCTGTGTCCCACCCTGGGTTACCCCAGGGATACAGCTGTGTCCCACCCGTGGGGCAGCCCCTGTGCTGCTCCCACAAGGATGTAGAGAGGATTTTGCTTTCTCTCTCTTTGAGCAGGGGTGGGGAGGAGAGGCGCAGGGAAAAAAAAAAGGATGGAGGGGCCAGGAATTCTGCCCGAATGGTGGGAAGATTGCAACTGAACAGAACTGTCGGGAAGGCGGGATTTGGACGGCAGTGCGTGGAGATTCGGGACCCGTTTAACTCCTGACCCTCGCCGGGCTCTCAGAGTTTCAGCGCGGAGCACAAAGTTCAAAACGCAAAACTGCGCTCGCCCCGATCTTTTATCTTTTATTTTTAACAATCACCACAGAGCTGCAGGTGCCTTGCCTCCAAAAAGATCAGGGAAAAGATGGGGTTTGCGAGGGGACGGGTCCAGTCTGGAGGGTGTGGGATACCCCTGGCTCCCCAAATCGGGCTCAGTCCCCTCAGAGGTGAATCCTACAAACACCGGCAGCACCTCGGCGCCGCTCTGGAGGGAGGCTGCTCCCTGAGCGCCTGAGTTTTATCCATTCCTGGGCGAGGCGCACCCCGCGGGTCCCCGCGCACGGCCGGGCGCGCACCCAGCGCATCTCCCCGCGCTCTGGCTCCGCCCGCCCCGTCGCGGCGGTGCCGGCCCGGGGCAGCGGGGCACAGCTTCGGCCGCGGGGGCTGGCTGCTCCCCGGCCGCTCAGCCCGGCCGAGACCCCGCTCAGCCCCGGAGCGGCCCCGCGGAGCTGCCCCGACGGGCGCGGGGTCCCGGGGCAGGAGACCCGCAGCCGCTTCCCGGGGCGGGGGAGCGAGTCCCGCAGCCGCCTCCCCGCCCGCGGGCTCGGGCTGCCCCGGGGGAGCCTTTCGTTGCGCCAAAACCAACGAGCAAACGAAGAACGACCGAAAAAAAACCCGAAAACACAACAGCAAACGAAGCATCGGCCCTAAAGGGGGCCCGGTGTCGCGGGGGTCCCCGCTGGCCTCGCACCCCGCGGCAGCGGCTCCGAGGGCCGGGGCCGGGCGGGAGCCGTGCAGCGCCGGGGCCCGGCCGGGACAGGGGACAGGGGACAGCGCTGCTCCGCTCCTGCCGTCGGGGCCGGGCGGGAGCCGCGCCGCCCCGGGACGCTCTGCCCGGGGGTGGCCGCGCACGGTGGAGAGGGGATCGGGGGAACGGGCGTGTACTTACGGGCGAGGGCGGCGGGGCCGGGGCCGCTCGGAGCCGCTCCGGCGCTGCCCCGGCGTGGCCGGGCTTAAGAGCCGTCGGGCGGGCGCAGGACAATGGCCGGGAGGAGGGGGCCGGGGCCGGGGGCCGGCGGGAGGCGGGGAGGGGCCGGGGCCGCCCGCCGCCGCTCCGCCCCCCCGCGTCTGGCGTAAACCCGGCGCCGGGCTAAAAGAACCGGCGAGCTACCGGCGCCCGGGGCTGGTGGCCGCCGCCGCGGACGGCTCGCCGGTGCCGGCGGCAGCGCCCGGCCCGGCCCGGCCCGCCCCGTCGCGTCCCGCCCCGCCGCGCCATGTCGCTGAGCCCCAAGCACACGACGCCCTTCTCGGTCACCGACATCCTCAGCCCGATGGAGGAGAGCTACAAGAAGTTCGGCGGCATGGACGGGGCGGGCGGGCTGGGCGCGCCCCTCGGGCCGTACCGCCAGGCGTCCGTGCCCCCCGCCGCCGCCGCCGTCCCGCAGCACGTCCCCGCGGGCGCGGCCGCCTACCACATGCCCCACGGCGTCTCGCAGTTCCCGCACGGCGCCGTCGGGGGCTACTGCAACGGCGGGCTGGGCAACGTGGGCGAGCTGCCCGCCTACCCCGAGGGGATGCGGGGCGGCGCGGCGGCGGGCGGCGGCTGGTACGGGCCCGGCGGCGACCCCCGCTACTCCAGCAGTAAGTGCGGGCGCGGGGGGCGCGGCGGAGGAGGAGGGGGGCGGCCGGGCGCGGGGGGAGCCGCGGCCCCGACGGGGCGGGCGCTGAGCAGGCCGCCCCGCTCAGTCTCCAGGTTCATGGGCCCGTCGGCGGGGATGAACGTGGCCGGCATGGGCGGCCTGAGCGGCATCGCCGAGGGCGCCAAGGCCATCGTGCCGCTGCACGCGGCGCCGCGGAGGAAGAGGAGGGTGCTCTTCTCGCAGGCGCAGGTCTACGAGCTGGAGCGGCGCTTCAAGCAGCAGAAGTACCTGTCGGCGCCGGAGCGGGAGCACCTGGCCAGCCTGATCCACCTGACCCCCACGCAGGTGAAGATCTGGTTCCAGAACCACCGCTACAAGATGAAGCGCCAGGCCAAGGACAAGGCGGCCGCCCAGCAGTTGCACCCCGACGGCGGCGGCGGCGGCAGCGGCGGCAGCGGCGGCCTGTGCCAGCAGCCCTCGCCGCGCCGCGTGGCCGTGCCGGTGCTGGTGAAGGACGGCAAACCCTGCCCGCCGCCGGGCAACGCCACCCCGGGCCCCGGGC